GCATTCGGATGAGGATGCTGCGGCCGACGTAGGTATCCCGATGCTGTAGAGCTTCGGGGTATCTTCGCCAGAATACGGGACCGTGTGTCCCGTGCGCCTGCCCTCTCTGAGGATTGCCCTTCGGGGCTGGAGTGCGGGCCGCATTACATCGCATCGCATCGCTGTTTGTGCTTCTCCTCACCACTTGTATTCGGTTCGCACCTGTCGAAGGTTCCGTGCCAACGCCTCCAACGTTTGTTCGGTCAAAGCTTTCTTCTTGTGAATCACGGCCAGCTGCTTCTGATAAGTCGCTGCTTTCAGACGAACCAACATGGTGTCGATACTTCCTCGTACTCCAGCATCTTCCCTGGAACTCGCGGTCGTCATCATCTCCCTGTCATCCATCAAGTTGTGATGCCGCCTGCAACAACTCACACATTTGCTGCGCCTGCGTGGCAGGCTGCTTTCATGAATTTGCGCCTCGTGGGATCTGTCTGCACCCCGTATGCGCGTTCTCAGGTCTTCTCCAGTGCTGGTACCCGAGCCCGTCGATCTGCTTCGTCAACCATGCTGTGCTGAGCGTCACCACATTCATCAATGTTGCCTGCGGTGTGCCCCTGGGCAGCAGATACACTGGAAGTGGAGCTAGCGATGCTGTCGCCATACGAATCTCAATTATACCCACTCTGCCAGTGGTGCATGTTCTCTCGGGGGAGTCGCAATCTGCTGAACGATGGAGCCGAGCTTCTCATGGATATGAACTGCCAGACAACAATAGAGAGTCGTTGTCATTACTCCCCTCCAGCCAATCTGGATGCACTGGTGGTGCGGGAGGCCGCGTTTGCTGGTGTCGTGCTGCTTGTTTGCTCTCTTGCCCGTGGCGTTCAGCATCGCTATATCTGTGTTGGCGCATACTTGTGAAACCTCCGCTCGCCTCGTGACATCAGCCCATATTGTGTTATACGCAACAACTTTGAAATCATCAACCGTGTGTTCAGTACCACTGAGTGGACTATCATGGCAAGTTGACCCGCCCAACCACTAATGGGCGACCCGATCTTCTCCTCGCTTCCAAGTCTGTCGTGGCCAGGCTCGGGGTTAAGAACTGGCTGGCGCCTTGGGTCTCCATGCTTTCGGTTGGAAAGGGAGGATGGAGAGGTCAGGGATAAGTTGGAGGAGGGGGAGGAGAAGCCGAGCGTTTCCCCCTCTGACGTGTTGAATCCCACGAGTCCCCCTGGGTTTTCGTTGGCTTTGGGAGTCCACCCTGCCAGTGTCCCTTCTCCTTCCCCTCTCAGGCGATCGCAAACATGGATCGAGGGGGCGTGGATTAGCGACGGGTCCCGTTTCCATGGGGACTCGCGGGTTTCCGCCGCCGAGGGAGGCGGCACCGGCCGCATTTTGGGGAGGGCACCTCCCCCGATCCATGTTTGCGCGCCCCCGAGTCACAGTCTAATTACCACTGGCGTCCAGTCCTGGAGCCTCCTTTGGCCTCTTGGCATCACTGTGTGGCTTCCCAGGGGCCCCTTCGGGCCTCATGGGGCCTCCTTGGGCTTCAGAGACCTCCCGAGACTCCCTGGGCCTTCCTGGGGCCTTCCTGGGGCCAAATGCATGGATCGCTGATCCGTGTTTGCGCGCCCCCGACCCTCGTGGTGGAGTGGACGGGCTCCCCCCGTCGCCCCCTTCGCTGGGCCCGGAGCGAGGGCGGCCGACCGCCACACCTCTGCGGAGGGCGTCGGGGCCCTCGCCCAGTCGAGGAGGAGGAGGAGGAGGAGGAGGAGGAGGAGGAGGAGGAGGAGGAGGAGGAAGCGGGCGCGGAGGAAGAGGAGGAGTAGTAGTAGTAGTAGTAGTAGTAGTAGTAGTAGGAGGAGGAGGAGGAGGAGGAGGAGGAGGAGGAGGAGGAGGAGGAGGAGGGGGACGAGGAGGAAGTGGGCGCGGAGGAGGAGGAGGCGTAAGACGAGGAGGAGGGGGAGGAGGAGGGGGAGGAGGGGAGAGAGAGAGAGAGAGAGAGAGAGGCGGACAAGCAGGTGGAGAGGGAGGGGGGCCAGTGGGTGAAGTGGGAGGGATGAGGCGGAGGGGGAGGAGGAAGATGAGCCCGCCCGACTGAGGCCCAGGTTGTGGGCCACGACTCCGGCAGGGCCGGGGGCCGCACGGCAGGGCTCTGCGGCGCATTGGTGCGAGGGGGCGGGCAACAGACATGCGGCGCCCCTCCTCCCGCTCCTCGTCGGCCCGCTCGTCCTCGGCAATACGCTGTCTCCTCCTCGTCCTCATTCGGGGGAGGGGGGTATATCTCGAGGAGGAGGACGAGGAGGAGGAAGACGATGAGGACGATGAGGAGGAGGAGGAGGAGGAGGAGGAGGAGGAGGAGGAGGAGGAGGAGGAGGAGGGGGAGTAATGAAGGCGAGGAGGGATGATGCTGATGCTGATGGTGATGATGATGAGGATGATGAGGGATCAGGGTTGTAAGGAGGATGAGTGATGACGATGATGCTGGTGATGAAGATGATGACAATGAAGTTCATGATGTTGTTGATGCTGATTTTGAGGATTACTGGTGATGCTGATGAGGACGATGTAGACGGCGCCGACGTGGTCGATCATTATGATGTTGCTGTTGTGGAAGGTATTGGTGATGATGCTAATTACGATGAGGATGGTGATGATGATGATGCTGTTGTCGATGATGATGATGATGATGATGATGATGATGATGATGATGATGATGATGATGATGATGGCGATGGTGATTGTGGTGCTGATGCTGATGGTACTGATGATGATGATGCTGGTGGTGGTGGTGATGATGATTCTGATAATGCTGCTGCTAATGATGATGATGATGATGATGACGATGATGATGATGATGATGATGCTGATGATGATGATGATGATGATGATGCTGATGATGATGATGATGATGATGATGATGCTGATGATGATGATGATGATGCTGCTGATGATGATGCTGATGATGATGATGATGGTGATGATGATGATGATGATGATGATGATGATGATGATGATGATGATGATGATGATGATGATGATGATGACGATGACGATCATGATGATGATTATGATGCGGATGATGATGCTGACGACGATGATGGTGAGTCTTATGTGCTTCGAGCGAGGATTGGGGGATGGGAAGGGTGAGTATGATAGGAACTATGGAGTGACATGGCGTGATAAGTACGCAAATGATGTAGGATAGTAAGGACGGACGGGGCGACAAAACAATTGAGGGGACGGGCAAGGGGCTGAAGCAGGAGGATGAGCGGAGGGGCTGAAACAGGAGGAGGATGTGCTATAGGCAGCACGAAGGAGGATCAGGAGCAGGTCGACGTAACGCAGGACGAGGTATTTCACAGCTGTGATGAATATGAGGGTGATAATGCTGATATCAATATTATTAATACTAATGATGATGATGATGATGCTGATGCTGATGCTGATGTTGATGATGATGCTGATGATGCTGATGATGATTATGCTGATGCCCGCGTGTAATATCTATGCAATCACTACGGCGAGGACGAGGACAATGAGACGAAGGTGGAGTGATAATAACGATGGACAGTTATCAGGGTGAAGCTGGTCGTATGTCGCGAAGCGAGGGCGATGATGAGTAGAATGAGGAGGTTCAGAGGACGTTTGAGATGCATCAACGATGCTGCAAGACACCCTCAAGTCCCCTCCTCGCGAGTCCCTACTTGCCCTCCTTTCAATTTTAAGAACCTCCCCTTGAAAGACTGGCACCCCTATGGGCATACCATTCAAGCTAGAGCTCCGATGTGAAACGGAACAAGTGCTTCACGTCATTCCAGGGAGTAATAATACACGTGCAGGGGTATGATCATGCAAGCCAGAATTTCTCAAGCAGGATCCACGTTGCGAAACACGGCCGCCCCCATCTGTGTAACTCTTGCACACGTTTGCACTCCTGGCCATGCGTGTAGAGCAAGTTTCATGCGACCGCCCCATTTTGAAACGGAGTCGCCCTCCACCCGTTCACGTTTCAGACCTTGACAGTTTGGAGAATCTCAATCGGCCGCCAGATATTGAAGAGGAACCGACTTTCATCCGTGTAGCGGTTGCATCTGTTCAGGTTTTTGTGCATTTGTTCAAGCTCATCGTGTTTTGCACTTTTCAAGCGAATTGTAGTTTTGGTATATTTTTCAAGCTAAAGTCCCACTTCGAAAGGAAGCGCCAACAGTCCTTGTAGCTGGTTCGTACTTGTTCAGACGAGTGTGTGCGGCGCGAAGGCGAGAGCCAAACTTTGGAAAGAAGCGGCCCTCCATGTTTTGAAACTGCTGCACATTTTGAACATCAGGGCCACATGGGCGACAGAAGAAATCGCATTCGTCTTTGCCGACAGTGGCGCGTAAGCTGCCCGCGTAAGGTCGCGCGTAAGCGCCCTCGTCTCCAATGTAGCGTTCCGCGCTGGCGGCCCGCGTAAGCCACCGCGTAAGGTCGGTTCGTCTTTGATCGACGCTCAAACTTGGTTCCCCCCAGTTGTCCGTTAAACTGTTGCGAAGTGTGCGCGTCGCTAATGTGAGATCTACATCTTGAAGCACTGCCCCTCTCTATCCTTAAGCTTCTGCACGCTTCTGCGATGAGTGTGCGCGGCGCTGAGGCGAACGCTCCGTTTTGAGCCGAACTCGTCCTCCATCATTGAAGCTGCTGTATTTTTGTAGCTGCAGGGTCACGCCCTTCCCCCCCCTGGACACGTCTGGGGGGGTGGGAGGGGGTGCGGCAGGGATGAGTTACGTACAAGGAAGATAGGTGGAGGTTGAGAGGGGGGCGTGGAGGGTCAGAAGGAGACGGGGGGAAGGGAGGAGGGGATGCACATGAGGTTAAGGATGATAGATATAGGGAAGCCGACGGAAATGGATGATGAGCATGATGCGCAGGCGGAATGAGTAGGAGGAGGGAGAGGTGCATGGGAGAGGGGAACGAAAGAGAAAGGGGATGAGGGCGGGATCATGTCGAGGACGAATGTGATGAGACGGAGGAGGGGGAGGATGTGGATGAGAATGTTGAGGGGGGCGGCCCAGGTGTGCAAGACACCAGACGGCCGCCAGTTCAAGGTCGGCTCTGGCCTCAGCGACGCCCAGCGCCGCGACCCGCCCGCGGTCGGGCGGATCATCACGTACAGGTTCTCCGCGGCTTGTGCGAACCCGCCATTTCTTCGTCCCTCGCCAGCATATTTCCTCGGGGAGCAAGAGGAGGCGGAGGTGCAGGGAGGAGGTGGGATGAGGCGGAGGAGGCAGAGTGGAGGAAGGAGGAACTTGAGGAGGCGGAGAATTGAGGAGGAGGACGAGGAGGAGAAGGAGGAGGAGGAGTAGGAGGAGGAGGGGCAGGAGGAGGAGGAGGAGGAGGAGGAGGAGGAGTAGGAGGAGGAGGAGGAGTAGGAGTAGTAGTAGTAGTAGTAGTAGTAGTAGTAGTAGTAGTAGTAGTAGTAGGAGGAGGAGGAGGAGGAGAAGGAGGAGGAGGGTGGTCACAAGGGCAAGAGTAACCCAAGACGCCTCAAGGCTGTCGCAATAACCCCTCCCTCCAATTTCCCTCTTCACTCCGGTCCCTCCAAGAACTGTTTAAGAACTGTTTATTATTATTATTATTATTATTATTATTGTGGGAAGTGCTCCATTGGAAGACAATCGTCTGATACTCTTCAATCGTGCCGTAACGCGCTTCCTGGGCATTTACCGTCTCGGATCAACGTGACCGTTGCGTCCTGAGCGTTCTACATCGTGGCAGAACACCATCGCCGCCTATCAACATTATTGTTGCGTTCTGGCAGTCCAGTTTGATGCTGGGCAAACTTTTTTGAAATTTCAGCCACACGAATCCTTGATTTTGCTGCAGTGTGTTAAGACGAATGCGCTCGGCGCTAAAGCGAGAGCCTCAATTTGAACTGGAACCTCCCTCGAGCCGTGTAACTGCTACAATCTTTTAGACCGAGTGTGCGCGGTGCTAGAGCACGAACCTCATTCTGAACACGGCCCGCCCTCCATCCGCGACATGGTTTCGATTTCCCAACGAATGTGCATGGCGCTAATTCGAGAGCCACATTTTGAAAACGACCCGCCCTCAATCTGTGGAATTATGCAAACTTCAAGCTTCAGGATCACACATGGTGCGGAGGTCTCAGAAGACATGCCAGGCCCGCCCTACTGTCACGTCTGAGGGTGCGACAGAGGCGTGTTACTCATAAGGGAAAGGCATTGAGGAGGAGGAGGAGGAGGCGGAGGCGGAGGCGGAGGCGGTTGATGAGGTAGAGGAGGTGGAACCAGGTTTGCGTGCAGGTAGCAGTAGCAACGAGAGTCATGTGCGGGGCAGATGGCGTGGGCGCAGCTGGCAGCCAGACACTGAGCCTGCCCTTTCCTGATCAACAACCTCCGCAGCTCCCAACTCGGGCACCACCACCACCTGTCTCCTCCTCCCCCACTCCTCCCCCACTCCTCCCCCGCCTCCATCCTTCCCCATTCCCCTTCTATCCTCCATCCTCCTCCCTACGTCTTCCCTTCTCCAGCTGCTCGGTGACTGAAGCGCGGGGCGCCCCCAGGTACCAGGAGCTCACGGCAGCGAACCTGCCGCGCTTCCCGACGCTGGTGGCCGCCGCCAGCTCTTGGGGGAAGGAGCGGAGTTCGGAGGAGGGCTGGCTGAGGCAACGGTGGTCCTCCGAGACGATGACGATTATGATGACGTGGATGGTGGGGCGCGCGGAGTGAGCTATGCGCAGTAAGCTAAGTGCTGGTTCAACATGTGTGGTGTACCATCCGTGATCAGAGCTATGTGGTGTAAACTATGTGGCGCAGACTCTGATGCGTAAGCTATGTGGTCCACACCATCTGTTGATATCTGTGGTGGGGACTGGCACGAGCCACGCGGTGCAGGCCATGCGGTAGGCAGCGGGAGGCGCCCACGCGGATCCCACGGCCGCCCACCAGGCGAATATTCGGCACATCCAGCCATCGCACGCTGGCGCCCACGAGGTGCCCACGGCAGCCTACCGGGCGAACACAGAGCGCACGTAAGACCTCCTGGCGCAAGCGCTGTTGGGATCATACCGAGTGTATCGCACAACAAGCAGCTCAGAGGAACGCAGTACAATGCAGCACAGCACACGACATCAACAGCAAAGCGAAACGAGCCAGCTTGAGGCGATCCGATGCAGCTTCAGTGGGGCGATGCGACGCACCGCGACGCAATACCATGCAGTGCGAAGCAACGCCATGCAATTCAGCACAAGCAGCAACATTGTGCGTCCACGCATTGCAGCTGCGTGCATCGAATCGATACGACACGCAACACATCAATGCACACAGGAACGCAACGCATAACGAAACACTGCAACGCGATGCAACGTACTGCGAATCATTGCAAATCACCGCAGTGCACCGAATGCAGATCAGCGCAATCCAACGGGAAGCCATTCAATGACACGTCGCGTGTACCAACGCACTTTCACGACAAGCTCGAGCAGCGGTGCCAATGCAAAGCAACATATCAGCCAAAGACGTAACTATGCAACGCAGCGCAAAGCACCGCAACCCCACGCAAAGCAAAGCGAGCCCTTCCCCGATGAACCCGAGCCTGAACCCTCTGAAGAAGCCGGAATACCTTCCAGGGGCACGCGTGAAAGGGGCCGCAATCCTCATCAGCCCTCTTGCGCAACATGAGCCTGATCTTTGGCGAAGTCAATTCGGTGGGGAATCACCTCAATACGTATTCGGCTACTTTGTTCTTGACTTTTCGCGTACCCCCACTGGCCCATCCAGAAGTGCTGCCTATGCGAATTGCCTTGATCAGGGATGTGTCGGAGCAAGCCGTGGAATTGAGGGGGGTCAACCGTCAAATCGAAGCTCAGAACCAGCTTGAGCATGCCCTGTAGTCAACCATTATACCAGTGATACGGATTAGTGATAGACTATTAGACTTTTAGTGATACGGATACCATTATCAAGTGGATGGTTAGACTATTAGTGATACGGATATTGAGTTCGATTGTGAGATCGATAGTGAGATAATTAATGGATCGGTCGTGAAGACGATCGTAAGGTCGATCGTGAGACCGATAGTGAAGTCGATTCAGTGAGATCGACAGTGAGATCGCTCGTGCGATCTATAGTGAGATCGATTTTGAGATCGGTTGTGAGATCGATGGAAAGGTGGGTAATGAGATTGATGGTGAGACCGATCCATAAAGAGACCGACCAAGAACCAGGGAACCTGGCAACCCGGGAACCCCCGACGCCCACCAGAATCCGCCCGGAACCCGGAATCAGGAACACGGGAAGCCAGAACTGGGAACCTGGGAATCCGGGAACTTGGGAACCCGACCGCCTACCGAACTCGACCCGGAATTTCCGCCAATTTCCGCCGGAATTTTCCGCCGAATTTCCGTTAGGACCCCTTCAGTGCAAGCACTGATTGGGGAAGAAGTGCCTTCGCGGACCATTCGGTATGGGAGCGCTTGTAAGCTTACGTGGGCTATCTCGGGACCATCGGGACAATCTATATATGAGGCCTTCGGGACTCTTCTAAGGACCTGTTGGTGCTCTCTCTGGGCCCTCTTTTGGGCCTGCCTCGGCCGATCCGAGACGCCATCGATCAAGCAAGGGGGGACCCACCAATAGGACGCTACACCTTAGGCGATGCTTAAGAAAACCTAAATTTTTGGCCAGAGTCTCGATTATTCTTAACGTTTCAATGTAAATCCTAAGATTTGAATAGAAATTCTGGGTTTTTATTCACGTTCTGAGACTATGAATTTCTTAACCCATGATTTCTTAAGCATTTCGCAGGGTGTACATCCAGCGCGCATTCAAACTGAACCGAAGGGAGCCCGGAAAAGGGGGCGCAAGTTGTGTCGCCGTCTTCGGCCTCCTGGAGTTTTTTCCTTGGCTCCAGGGCTGCCTGACCACGACTCAGGATGAGGGCCCAGGACTCGTTGCCTTCAAGACCTTCTTCCCTCATGCCAAGTCCAGCGCGCATCCTAGTTATTTTGGTTTGCCATTTCTGCCGCAGGTGGCCGAGCGACCAGACTTGGATTGGTCCACTGTGATCGCAGGAGCCGGGCTTAACTTTATTATGCTTGTCTAAATGATTCGTCTTTTCTGTATGTGTATCTCTTCATATGGGTGTGTTGCTTGCGACGCCTCCTGGTGTTGCGTGACATTCGAGTTAGTTGTGCCATTGCAGTGCCGTTTTCTGCGATATGCAGTCTGGGAAGAAGGCATGGACACAACATCATATGTACATGTTCGCCGCATTGTATATTTCGGAGGTGCGCAAGGTTTTGTCGAGCGCAAAGCGCTGCTCGGAAATTTTCCCTCTGTCTCTTGTAATTACTTCAACTGCTCGCCGTGGTTGGTGGGGTGAGGGCAACACGCCTTGGGTCTGGTCGAAGCGTGTGCCGCCCACCTGGCACAGGATCGCTATACAGAGCACGGGGCTGGACCCCGCGGGGCCGCAAGTTGGTGTTCTCTTCTCGGTGAAGTGTGCAGAGAAGCTCGTGCGATTGAACTGCACAACACGTTCACAACCATGTAACATTTTTAGCCCAAGGCGACAGACCGAGCCGTAACCGAATCTCAAAGGTGCGATCGAACAAGTGATCCCAGTGTAGGCGGCCTAAACCCAAGCCACGACCATTCTGAGAAGCAAGCGAACGGCACCGATGACGGAGCATGACGTATGCAAGCGACGGGCAAGTTACGTGCGATTGCCGGCAAGCGACGGGGTAGGCGAATTGCAAACCACACGCAATATCAACAATTAGTTTACGGAGAGTCGAATCCAATTCACGCTATCCGTAAGGGCTTCGCCCCCTGCCGCCGGCCCCCTCTCTCGGAGAATGGGCCATGGAAGAGCAGGTTTTGGACCCTGACCCCGCGGATCTGCGTGAGGGGTGGCACCGAATTTCAGACATGTGGCAAATCCCCTTTGTTTTTGGACCCTGACCCCGCGGATCTGCGTGAGGGGTGGCACCGAATTTCAGAAATGTGGCAAATCCCCTGTGTTTTTGGACCCTAACCCCGCGGATCTGCGTGAGGGGTGGCACCGAATTTCAGAAATGTAGCAAATCCCTTGTGTTTTTGGACCCTGACCCCGCGGATCTGCGTGAGGGGTGGCACCGAATTTCAGAAATGTGGCAAATCCCTTGTGTTTTTGGACCCTGACCCCGCGGATCTGCGTGAGGGGTGGCACCGAATTTCAGAAATGTGGCAAATCCCCTGTGTTTTTGGACCCTGACCCCGCGGATCTGCGTGAGGGGTGTCGATTTTGAGCCCCCCCAGCAATTCAGACAACGCGCCCAGGTGGTGCTAAAAATCTGGTTTGGGCCTCCCTCCCCTCGCGCGGTCAATCAACTAGTTGCAGTAACCAGCAAGAAGCAGAACTGTAACACTGGAAACTACAAACTACAACTGGTACAGGAAACTGCGAATCACGGGCCTACAGCCTGGTGGCCCCACAAGGGGGCCGGCGGATTACGCGATGCAATCTAAGGGCAAGCGGACAGCACATTACGCGTGTAATATGCGCCTGTGGCAGGCTCATGGCAAGTCAAAGGTCAGTTTGAGTCAAGCTCGAGCGAAGCCTCAGCACCCGGGTGAAAATCACCCGATCTGCAGGCAAAAGCCAAGTTTGGTAATCGGAGGGGGGGTGCTCCCAGCTTTTCCAGGGAGGCCCGGATGGCCTCCAGAGCACTCCTCATGAGGCCTGGAAGAGACCCCTAGGGGCTCCAACGTGGCGAGAGAAACTGGGGACACCTTGGGCCAGGGACACCTTGAGCGACACCCCGTTCTCGAGGAACTGAGGGAGACTGCTCGTGAGGAGCGGGTTGGGGTGAAGTCAACATCGCCACCGTGCCCCTTGGTGGTAGCGCCCGCGCCCGCGGACATCTGCTCTCCAAGCCTTGCCGCTACGTGGCCCTCAGTGCGGTCTCGTTTTTTTTTTTTTGTTTTGTTTTTGTTTTCTCTCTCTCTCTCTCTCCTCCCTCCTCCTCCTCCTACTCCTCCTCCTCCTCCTCCCTCCTCCTCCTCCTCCTCCTCCTCCTCCTCCTCCTTCTCTGTCTCTCTTTCTCGCAGGCTGCCCAGGCAGCGCACGACCAGATGGACATGTAGAAGCGCCAGCGGAGTCCTCGTACATCCATTTGTTTGGAATTGGAGCCAGGCTCGGGCCAGTCTGGTGAGGCAGGTTTCGGTTCGAGCCATGGGCAGATCCAAGGCGTCGCATCTTGCGCGTCGGCCCTGCTCATGCACCGAGACGCATCCCAGGGCGCACTTCACACCGCATGCTAACCACACTCCCTGCTCGAGGGCTCCGCATGCGGCGAGCCAAATATTCTCCAGACTACGTGCCCCCGGGTCCGCGCGTGGACGCGGCGCTTAAGAAGAAGCACACCGTCCTCTTCGGCGACAGTGCCCAGCACAGCGGGAGGGGCCGGGCGCAGGTGGAGCGGCGGCGGCGACAATGGCGACGCGTGTTGCATGTTTTTGATGTTTTTGGGGCTGCGGAGGCCGAGAAGGCCCCGGAGTACGGGACAGGGGGGATCTTGTGGGAGACCAGGGGAGGCCGAGACGGGTGATGTTGAGAAGAAGGATCATGGGGACGTGCTGCTGCTTCCTGGCAGCGGGGCAAGCAGTGGGCTCTTTTGCCAGGGCTGTCGTGGGGTGGGGAGGACGAGGAGGGCCAGGAAAGGGACGACTGTTCTGTGGAGGCCTGTCGACGGACAGCCCTGCAGAGAGGCAGGGAATGGAGGAGGAGGAGGAGGAGGAGGAGGAGGAGGAGGAGGAGGAGGAGGCGGAGGAGGCGGAGGCGGAGGCGGAGGCGGAGGCGGAGGCGGAGGCGGAGGAGGAGGCGGAGGGAGGATGAGGGAGGAGGAGGAGGAGGCGGAAGCGGAGGCGGAAGCGGAGGAGGAGGAGGAGGAGGGGGAGGAGGATGATGAGGAGGAGGAGGAGGGGAGGAGGAGGAGGAGGAGGAGGAGGAGGAGGAGGAGTCAGAGGCAGAGGAGGAGGAGGAGGAGGCGGCCCAGGGATGGAGGATGTCGGGCGGGTGTTACGGGGGGGGACCCAAATGGGGGTGAAGAAGGTGGCCCTAAAGTTGCCCTGAAGGGCCCCTGGAGGACCTCCAGTGGCTCCAAGGGGGCCCCACAGGGCCCCTCCAGGGCCCTTCTCTCCACCCCCCATCTGAGGGCTCCCCCCTCCCCCCTAAAACAGACGCCCGAGGATGGGGGCCCCTTGAGGCCCCCGATTGGCTCCACAGGGGGCCCCCCATTTTAGGATCCCTTTCTCTCAAACCACACGCCCGGGGACCGGGGACCCCCCGGTACGCCCCCTGCGCAGGGGAGGCTGGGCGCGGCTGGCGCCCCGGAGGCGCCGGCAGAGGTGCAGCGCGGGCTGAAGCGGCCGCTGTCGCAGGCGGGCGCCGCGGGGCTCTGGGCCAGCCCCCTTCAGAGGGGGAGGGTCAGGGGCGGCCCAACCGACCCCTGGCAAGCCATCCCCTGTCCGTGACGTCCGCCTTGCCTCGCCCCGAGACGTATGCATGCGGCCGGAGGGACGGAGGGGGGCTCGACAGGCGAGGGTGACCTCACGAAAGGGGATGGTTTGCTAGGTTCCTGTTCGGCCGCGCCCGAGAGAGACGTATGTACCCACACCGCCAGTGGCTGTCGGGGAACTCGCAATTCTGGGCAGAACGCACCCTGGGAGAGGTCCGGGGAGTCGCGGTATTGGTACTCTCTTAGTTCTCCAGTGCACGTCCCCCGCTCAACCTCTCGCTCGCTCCACCTCCGCTTGGCTCCCGTTCGTCATCCCGTGCACCCCCCTCGGATCACCTCGCGCCGTCCCTCCACCGTCTCTCCTCCGTGCTCCGCAGTCTGTTCAGGTGGACGTTATGCAGCTGGGCGCGGCAGAGGACCCAGGGTGGTCAAGTCCAAAGCCTTCGTCCTTCCCTCTCTCATCCCGATCGTCTCGCGTCCTCCCTTCACCCCACTCCCACATTCCTCCTCCTCCTCTTCTTCCCGAAGCAGTGGGGGGGCACGAAGTCCCTGACTCCTGGTGCGCCGCAGTCCCGTAGGGCTGCACAGGTAGTCCCTCGAGCGGCACCACAGCCGCTGGCACCCTGCCAGCGACTCCTGGCAGATGGCCCCGGCTCATCCCTCGGACAGCCTCCTGGCCAGGCGTGCCAGGCCTCGAGCGATCGCGCGCTGCCGCCCCGCTGCTCCCTGCGCGCGAGGTCGGCGCCCAGAAGGGGCCTCTCCTGCTGCGCCGAGCGGTGCCGACCTCGTGGAGGCGGCCGTTCGCGCGGCGATCCTGGAGAGGGGCGCCAGGCGCACGGTGGCCGCTGCGTGGCTCGTGCGACGGCGGCGGCTGTGCTCTCGGCATGCGCTGCACCGTCGCCGCCTGCGGGCTCTGGGCGCGCTGGGGGGCGCCTGCGCCGAGGTCCAGGACGAGGACGACTCCGAGGACAGGGGCGAGGACACGAGCATGAGCACGGTCCTTCGGAGACGCCGCCGTCGGCAGCGTCTGGCGGAGGCGAAGCGCAGGAGTCTGCTGCGGCGGACGGCATGGACGAGGACGACATCAACGACGAGCGGGCTGGCGGCCTTCGGCGCGGCGCTGCTGGTGGTGATGCTCCTCTCGCTGGTGAGCCTCGTGCCGCTGCGGTGGCGGCTGCCCCCCCGGCGCTGGCGGCGCCTGCGGTGGCGCTGGCGGCTCATGTGGCACGGCCCCGGGTGGAGGCGGAGGCTGGCATCGCGGCGTCGTCTGGGGGGACTGGCTCGGACACGGCCGCGCGCGCGGATGTGATCGCGTAGATTTATTAAGTCGGGCGCTTCCCTCGACAGGGGGTATATTCAGAAAATAGAGTCAGGCGACGATTGTTTGAGCATTTTCTGATTAGGTATGAGATAAGTGTATACATGTATTTGTGTGTATATATACACACATATATACATCAATAGGTGTAACTATACACACACATATATAATTTTCGTCCCAAATTCGCCTGTAGGGGGACATGTCCGACCTAAGCGAAGACCGTGGCGCTGCCAGCCGTGGCGAAGATCGGGCCAGCCCACGCGGGCACCTCCGTCGACCTCGTCGAGGGCGCGTGTCCACCGCCGAGTTTCGCACCTTCCTGGAGGCGCGCGGCCAGCGGAGAGGGTCTGGCATTCTTCTTCCCGCAGGGCGTGCCTGGACGATTTGGATGCGTCTCTCGATCGCTCGCTCCTCTCCCTCCTCCTCCTCCTCCTCCTCCTCCTCCTCCTCCTCCCCATCCTCCCCATGTCCCTCTTCTTCTTCTTCTTCTTCTTCTTCGTCCTAGTTTGTTGTCTTCCTTCTCCTCGTCTGTACCATGTGTGGCTCCTCTCGGGTGTCCAGTGGCAACATGGCTCACCGTAAGCTGCAGGCGACAGGTCGTGGGCCCTCGGAGCACATGCCAACCCGATGTTAACATACATCTATTCTAGCTGATATTCGGGCTGGTCGCCACCCCAACTCGGGCAAGTCCTTAAATCCTGACTAATGTATGTTCGACCTCTTCTTCCTCCTCCTCCTCCTCCTCCTTCCGCGTCCCTCCTTCTTCGCTCCCTCCTCCCTCCTTCCTTCCTCCTCCTCCCTCCTCCCTCCTCCCTCCTCCCTCCTCTCCCTCTCCCACCTTCCTCCTCCCTCCTCCTCCCTCTTCCCCCCCTCCCACCCCGAGGTCTCCAGACGTCTCTGGATGTCCGGAGGGCTTCGCTGGAGGTGCCCGCAGGGCCTGGGAGGAAGCCTCGGAAGGGGAGCTCCCCGAGCTCGGGGGCGGCCAACTGCTTGGCATCGCTCGGACGTGTGCATATTTTCTCGGCAAGGACCATCGAGAAGTATCCTTGTTCACCTTGCGAACACATGTACGCATGACACCGACAACTGCACAGGGAATGGACGTCCGAACGATGGCGAGAGAGGGGGGTGATGACAGAAAGGGTGGGCTGGACATCGTAGCAGGGGCTCCTGGCCACCTTTTCTTTTGTTCAGTACTTACCACCTTGGGACATATCTATATCACTATGATTGTCATCGCTTCATCTCGATACCAATCTTAAGGACCCCCTCAGCTCCTGAAGGCGCTTCCCTAAGATTGTCATCGCCTCTTGGTGTGTCAATCTCAGGGACAGGGATAGGTTCGAGGCCCATTAAGTACGTCCCCTTGTCCCCCCCCCCTGTGCCGCGCACGTGCCTCGGGCCATGAGTTGCGAGCCTTCCCCCCCCTGCTTGGGCGCCGCCCGGGAGAGGATGTCTCGGATGGGGGGCCCCAGGGCGCGGACCACACCATGGATGCCACGCTCTCTTCGTACCCCGGAGTCCTGACGCTTCGCTTACAGTCGGAATCGGCAGTAAGGATGGGCAGCCTTCCCAATGGTACCCTGGCAGCATTGCCTCCTCGGTCTATCCTGAACCCCTCTCGATGGCGAGCCCCGCTCGATTGTCTTCGTCATGGGCGTCCAAGGGGCTTGCATTCTTATCGCGCGTCCGTGCTATCAGTTTGACTGTACAGTAGGAGCTCGACCACAAGAAGCCTTCCACAAAAACCAAAGCCTGAGACCCCAGGACGTCCATCGATTCTTGGTGTGGGAACGTCACGCTGTCCATGGCAAACCTTCGAAATCCAAGAGACCCAAGGCACCTTGGAGGCGACCGGGGACATTGCGACCTTTCTGTGGGGCCATCTTGGAGGACATCGTTTCCCACGAGGAGGTGCGTAATCAGCCCTGCCCTGGAGGAGCCCGAGACATCGCCTCTCGCATCCCTTTCGGGACGCTCTCGGTACGATCATGGGTGTTATTGGGGCTGTTTTGGCGCCATTGTGGGCACCTACCGGGGGCTGTTAGGGGATCTTGATCATTTTCTTGAGGCACCAGAAGCCCACCAGAAGCAAAACAACGAGAAGGCAACCACCACTGAACCCGCAGTTTTTTGCGCGCACTGGGCACCTACGGGGCCAGCCATGCGGGGCTCCCAGGCCACATGGAGCAGCCTCTGGGCCGACTTGGGGCCTCTGGGAGGCATGCTGGGAGCCGTCTTCAGCCGCTGAGCCCTCCCCCCCTCGCGGCCCCCTCGGCCTTTCGACTCCCTCCCTGGGCTGACTGCCCACCCGAGCCGACCCTGTGGCCGATGCTTCCCGACGGCCCCCCTCCACGGCCCACCCCCCGACCGCTCCCCTCGACGGCCCCTGTGGCCAGTCCCCCCCCCCCGACCGATTCCCCTCGACCTCCTTCGACTCCTGCCCCGGGCCGACTGCCCACCCGGGCCGTCCTCTGGACGGCCTTCGGGGCCCGACGCCGGCTCCCCTGGAGGCCACGCGTGCTGGCGACGAGCAGGGCGCCTCGATCTGCGTCGAGGCGATGGGTGCACGGGCCCGGGGGGGGGTCGTGCGACCGAAGCTCGGCTTCCGCGCCGAGGTCAGGGGCAGCGATAGGGGGGGGGATGGGCATAGAGGGGGATGCATCGACCCCCAATCGCCCATGGATCGTCGATAGGGGCCCGATAGCCCCAACCCGCCCAGGATGGTGCGGATTCACTATCGGGGGCCTATCGCCGATCTATCGGCGATGTACCGCCGATTCCAGGTCGATGCATCCCCTCCTATGCCAGTCCCCCCCTATCGGTGCCCCTCACAAGGGGAGATGTGAGAGGGGGCGGGCCTTCTCGGAACAGGGGGTGGGCCTTCTGAGAAGCCCTCCGTCCTTTTGGGCAGCCCTCCGTGGACTTGGAACAGGCCAGAGCGCTGCTGGAGCTTTCTGGGATGGCCCGTCCCCTTTTTCCTTCCCCCTGGGCGCGCCGCCGAGAAATGGCACAGAAGAATGGGCCACGAAAACCGACAGCTGTTCTTGCCCATTTTGAACTGGGCTCGATGTCGTTGTCGTCGCGGGCGTTGTCCGTTGGAGGAACAAGGCGCCTTCCCAGCAGCAGCCGCTGTCGGTTTTGGATAGCACCTGCTCTTGGTTATCGTGCGCATGACCCCCATACCCCTCACAGAGCAGAGCAGAGCAGAAAGAGCCGCGCCCTGACGGCGCATCGGCAGAACCTGTGCGAACGCATACGAAGAAAAGGTCACTGAGCCTCGGCCGGCCACCACACGCGGGCTCTGCGCACATGGCGCGCGAGGGTAAGCAGCGACACTTCCCGGAGCATGTGGTCTCGCTGTCGGGCACCGATGTCAGATCCGTCGGCGATGCATCGCCGACATCAGCCGAGAACCAAGCAATGACATGAACGTGCAAACTCGGAGATCCGCGCGGATCTCTCGGATCAGCGCTGGACCCCCCTCCCTGGCGCGCGGGGCGATGCATCGCCGACACCAGGTCGATGCCCCCCCCCCCGAGCCGGCCCCTTCCCGCTGACGCTGCCCCCCTCCCTCCCGTGCGGGCCGAGGACGAGGAGCACTGGGCGACGTGGATCCCCGAGGACGTGGCGGACCTCGAGGTCGTGGGCGACGGCGCTCCCGCCCCGCCCGCCGGGCTCCGGGGGCGTTCGCTCGGTGCGGGCGGACCGAGGTGTAAGTCAGAGGAGGAAGCGGTACCCAGACCTCTGCCCTTCGCCCTTTGTTTGTTTGTTTGTTTTCTTGTATTTGTTTTTGTTTTAACTTTTAGTTTTTTTTGTTGTTTTGTTTTTTCCCGGGACCTGGGGTCTCAGGGTTGGGTTTCTTGCGGAAGGTTTCTTGTGGACTGGCTTCTTTCGTATGGGGGCTCGAGGGTCCTGGGAGTTTTGTTCTTGGTTTCGAGCGTCGCTTCTGGCCGTTCCGCTCCGTCCACATCGAAGAAGAAAAAACGCCATACACATACTTTTTTGGCGCTCCGCGCGGATTTCTTGGATCGGCGCCTGGGCCCCCCGGGCGGCGCCTCCTGGCGCGCGGAGCGCGCCAGGGAAGGGGGTCCAGCCCAGATCCAAGAAATCCGCGCAGAGCGCCAAAGTTTATATTTACAGCGTTTCTGTTCTTCCACCACAGGCAGACATGGGCAGGTGCCAGGGAGCCAGGTCGGCCTTGGCCCGGGGGCCGAGTCCGTTGATGGCGTTTCTTCGCTTCTTGGGTGCACCAGCCTGAGCAATGGCATGGGTCTTGGAACCGAATTGTGTTTCGCCGAGTTGGCGCGGGCCTGGCATTCGACGTTTCCACCAGGGTGCACGGACTTAGGGTTTCAAGCAGTGGCGAAGCGTCCTGGCTCGCCTATAGGCGTACCAAAGAATGTTCTAAGAACCTTTTGTGGTTTGCATGACATGTTCTTAGAACAGTTCTGGCTGGGACTGTCTTGTTTTATCACATCGGGTTTTAGGTTCTGAGAACATGGTGCTTGTTCTTAGAACATTTGTGAGTTCTAAGAACAATTCGTGGTAGGTCCTGCTCAAAGGGTTGACTTCTAAGATGATGACGCCTCGTTGGCCACAAATAGGCATTTGATTTCTGCCACAGGTGAGGGGCCTTGGCCGCGCGTAAACCTATGAGTTTGTAGGAGCCTATCAGGCCTTATGATGCCAAGCCGTATGAACCTAAGCTTAAGTCGGGCCTGTCCCTCTACAGTCAAACACTGTGAGGGGGCGTTTTTGTTGTTGTTGTTGTTGTTGTTGTTGTTGTTGTTGTTGCTGCTGCTGCTGCTGCTGCTGCTGCTGCTGCTGCTGTTGCTGCTGCTGCTGTTGTTGTTGTTGTTGTTGTTGTTGTTGTTGTTGTTGTTGTTGTTGTTGTTGCTGCTGCTGCTGTTGTTGTTGTTGTTGCTGCTGCTGTTGTTGTTGTTGTTGCTACTGCTGCTGCTGCTGCTGTTGTTGTTGTTGTTGTTGTTGTTGT